ATAATTAATTCAAGTAGCTAAATGTTATAATTAATTAATTCAAATAAATGTGATCTTACAGCACTATTTCATCTCTTTCTGATCTGAAGCAGGCAGAATGCGGAGCTAACGATCTGTAACGTTCAATGTACAGCAAGCCGTGCATTATCCCTTATGAATTCGCTCTTTAGCAGCAGTTTTTTTTACAGCAATATTTAAATGACACCCTGGTCATTCTTGGTGTACCCAAAATGGTCCCACACTATCGACAAGCATTTCTCTGGTGGAAATAAAGCTTCGCTGTTTGGTCCCTCTGTCACAGTTCATCTAATGCATGTAGTAGCGTCCGTGCCTTTGATAAGCATGTCATTTTAAGCTGGTGCACCCAAATTTCGTTTTGCGCAAGCTGCAACAGCTCCGTTCCGTGTAACAGAAACACTCGGTTTAGCGGAACCTTTACGATTAATTAACCGTGACGTTTTAAAGCGCGGTTAATTGCGAAACCGGTTAATCGCTGCATCCCTAGTCAAAAGAATGGCCAGTGATGGTTTTAATGTTTTGTATTAAAATAAAAGTTTTAAAATATTAATATTGTAATAATATTATTACATAAAATATAACATATAAATACTAAAAAATTTTATATTAACATAAATTCATTTAAATATATTCTTAAATATAATAAAATAAAATAAACAATAAAAAACAAATCTTTAAGTACACACTGTCATTTGAACAATGAGTAGTAATGATGCTGAATTAACGTTCACAAACTTTTAAGTACAAAAAAAAGGCCTCATTCTGACAAGAAAATTACAAATTTCACAGATTTCAACTTGTGGTTCAATAAGTGAGTCAGGTTTATTAACCACTCTGATGGACTCATTTAGTTAATTCAGTAAAGGGATACTTTAGTTGGATTATTTGTTACTCATTAAACTTCTGTGGTCACATTCTGTGTTTGTTTTTGTGTACAGTTTTGCCATTGTACTCAATATATTCCCAGGCATATTTATCACCCCAGTTTATTTTATTTTGCTGACAAAAATGCCTGATACTATATTGGTTACCAGGAAAAAAGTAGCATTTCAGTGACATTTTGAGAATCAGCCTCGCACTAAATATGATTAAAAAAGTACAAAAC